AAAACCATCATCTTCCTGATATCATTTACTTGTTTTAATTACTTTCGAAATGAATTCTAGAAATCGTTTGCGACTTAATATTTTGTTATCTTGTTTCTACTGAAAAATAGGTCATTTTTGTGATCTTGTTAAAACAGCATAAATTATAACTTCAAATTTCAGCTTGCTTGGGCGACAATTAATTTTAAACAGAACGCTTTGGGTGGGTCAATCATCAGTTGATCTCTGGCGTTCTGTTAAATCATAAACCGTTTCAATGCTATTTTGCAGCATGATCAATCACAAATATTCCATTCAAGTAAAACATTCGCGTTTAAACAACTCGAGACAAAAAATATCTATCATATTATCAACAAAATAAAAATGGTAAGCGACTAAAGCAAACATAACTGAAACATAAGCCCAATGGAAACTGTAACCTATTCATATCAAGCTTATAAATAATGTCTACACTTGCTTTAACACGCCCATAACGTAAAGAACAATACTACACAAACTGAATGACAACCAGTGCACAACGGGGATGTGTTTAGCTGCTCATAAATTTCAGCTTTCGTATTTTCTTGACCCTAATGTGCGCAACAACACAAAAGCCCACTTAAAACCACGTTCCGAAGTGAAGACCCTTCAAAGTTCAGTTGTAGAATGAATTATAAAGGGAAGCACAACGGATCTCGCCAGGAAAGCAGATAATTTTAGCAACTTCAATGAATATTACCCTCTTCCTCCGTTAACATAGCGGAAGCAAAAAACACCGAATAGTACTAGACTGAACTATTCAACAAAACTGAATAAGAAGCAAAATTTATGAACGCGAAGCAGTTTCTCATCCACAGTTCAAAATTAAAACAAAAATCACTTACCCTCGTTGTTGATGTATCTCAGTGACTTTCAAATGGCTGCTTTCCATGCGCAACTTCAACGTCTAAAGAGAATCAGAAATTATAAAACGTAGAATCAAGGAAAAAGTCTATCCATACCACAAATTCAAATTAGAATAAATTCAAACAGCTGATTTCGCGGACTAAGTTCAAGAACTCAAACGTACAGAAAACTGCGACAAAGGACTAGACCTACGTAAAATTAAGCAACAATAGGTATCGTGTAGATCTAAAAGAAAAATGCGGATCAGCACAAAATTTATACAAACATACGATTTTATCGATACAAGTTCAGGCGAACATTAATTATTGAAAAAAAGCATAACTAAACAACAACGTTTCTTCAAAAATCTCCTATTTTCGATAACGTAAACACAAAACTTATCAGATAATGTGCTAGCAATCGTATACTGTTGATTTTCAGGTTACGTGTAACGAAATTCTTACACCAATTATACATATTTTCAAACTTTCCGATAAGTCAAAACAAGTTCCACAACGATGAGCATCAGATTGAGAAGGAATTGAAGATGTTTTTACAATTACGTATTATAAAAAAATGTGAACCGCAATGGAATTTTGCAAAATGTAGGATAGGCTTAGGTTCAGTGCCATCAGATTGCGTAATCCAAAAGCTTGAAAAAAATTCCTTAGAAAATTCATACTTAGCTAAAGGTGGATAGAACATCTGTTTTTTATCAGAAAAGTTTAATTCTGCAACTGCTTTAAAATTCCTGTTAGACCATTGCTTCTAGTGCATTTTTTCGATGCAAGTGGTTCAATTTCAAAAAAAATTAAGTGGAACTGCAATTTTCAGTGTTTCCGAGTACCATTTTTCACTCCTCCTATATATTACCTTTAAACCAATCTTTTTGAAAATTATTTTACTTTTTCGAAAAATCTTTAACCTCCGACAGAATGATGACCGATGTCAACTGGATTGAAACGCTGTAATTGTTGTAAATAGATAGAATTTTCTTGTTTTCGCGTGCTGACAGCCATAGAATCAGATGATCACCTTCAAGTCATCTCCGGCATGGTATTAGTACGAATTTTAGAAATCGTTTATCTTTAACCTCATTTCGATTTATTTCTTCCGATGCGCTTAGCTTTGCATTTCTCAATGAATAAAAATGCAGCGTAGCGTTTGAGTCCATCGTCCAATGGAAAAATTGTCTATCGTTGTCATGTCCTATTACAACATGTTTTCCCATTCTGTTCAAGACGACACACAGAATAATACGCACTAGCACCCTAGCGGGAATGGATAGTCGGTTTATTTCAAGGCAATTTTTTAGATCCATGAAGCGGCCTTTCTTACGTATCGTTGAAATCAACTAACTTTCCCTTCCTTCATTTCGGATTTTATTTCTTGCCATACCGAATAAAATCAATTCATCAATGCCACAAATATTTCTGTTCCAAGTACCTTACTTTGATCTGGTTTTATGTTATCAATTCCCGCAGATCTGCCATTTTGTAGGTTGGTTTATCTTGGTTGGTTTTCTGCCATTCACGTCTTAAGCGGTCAATACCATTCGTCTTTCATTCGAGCAAAATATCATACAATTTCATGGCCTATTTCAGTATTACTTTATGTTATTAGACTATATTCGATATTACTAAGATATGCGCGTTACGCTGTGTTATCGGATATTTATGCGCCTCATTCTTGTTGTCGATTTCCCGCTGAAATCATTCAGAACAATAATGATATCAGGGACTGAGCACTGTTGAAACAAGAAAATCAGTGTGCTACAAATTTCTGCTTTTCTGCTGCAGCTTCGATGGGTCCATAATAATCAACTATCATGAAGCCCAGTCTTGTGCATTTACATTTGAACCTCAACTTCATGATTCTGTCAGATATCACATTTCAATCTACTAAAGAACCTACTCCTTCTTAATGGCTGGCAGTATAATACCATTTCTGTTAGCAGCACTTTCTGTTGTGCTGTCAGTCAAATAGGCGCTATAATTTCCCCAAATCACACGTTTATGTCAGGTTAATGCGTCCTTTGCATTGCAGCCGTTGTATCGGGTGGTAACCCGATTCATTTAATCTGCAACCCTTCATTCTGTGCAGGTTTGTTTAGCGTTGCACAGTCAGCATGGCGAACCGAGTCTGATTCACTGCTTCTACTCTGCCCCGTCTTCCAGATCGATAATCATTGCCAATAGTAACTCCGCGTCTGTTGCCAATTAAAACGGTCCAAATGACAGATTCTTTACGGTTTCCGCAAATAAATTCGCAGAATTTATAATCAGCCAAAAGTAATCTTTTTTTATCCGTTTCAGATTTTATGACAGGTCTTTTCGGCAACCTAACAGTTGATAAGAAAGAACTCCTTCGTTCGGTCAAGTAACCCTTTACGTAGGAAGTTTCGCTGTCCTTACAACTGGGACGGAGGGTTGGAATTTGAACCATATTTCATTTAAAATCCACTAATACAATAAAATCATCTGTGAAAAAGTCACTCAATTATAAGCATGGGTAAGAAATACTGGATTATTATCCTGTTATTCGCGGCCACACTAGTGTAGCTCCAGGTAATGCGCTAACCTAAAAAAGTAGACTATTCATTGGACAGTTGCTGCTTAGGGCAAACTGCTCTGAAAAATTACAAAAGGTCTGATCATTTATACTGCCCTACTGTCACTTAATAATCCGACAGATAATCATATTCAAGTTTGCTAATAAGTTTGTTCAAGTGTTTTATAGGCACTTTACAAGCTTGTCTTCACATTAATTTGCAGTAAGTCTATTTATTTTTTACCTAAGAAAATTCTGCAGCAGCCTCGTTCACGTACTTCCGAAATAATGACATTAAAACTACATCACCCAAAACAAAAAAGCCTTGCATCGTTCAAAGCCGTGACAGGGACCATGCGTGGTTCGGTGATATTTATGATTGTTTCTCGAGCCACCGATTTCAGATGCATTGTCTGTGGATTAGACCTTGTCGGAGCACTGACAAAGAGCATCAAAAATCCAACTTTGAAACAGTCAGATTCTTCTGTAGTTTATGCGACTGTCTTTCGTTAATTCGATACAATAGCAAATTTTTTGTTTTGAGAAACTTGCTTGCGAAGAGGAACATGATCTTCGCCGCAGCAACCAACGGCGTAAGACCAGTCATTCTCAAAAGCCAAATCGCAAGACATTATTCATCTGGGTATTCGGTCCCTGATATCTCAGTATGATGATGGTAACACCAAAATTCTGTTGACAAGTAAGATTCTGCATCGGTTATAGAGAACGTAAACCCTCATTTATCGAATTACTAATAAGGCCGTGACTAAAATTTACTATCCCGTGTGCTACAGAATAACCTTCTGCCAGCGAAGACCAACTGAACTCAGAAATTAAAGTTCCAACATTAAAACTCACAACCACTGTCATCACATTTAAGAACGGTGAAAGATTGAAATAGTCTGAAAACTGCACAGTAAAAATAATGATTCCGGATTGAAACGGCGAAGGTACAGCGTAAAGGAAGCAAAATCAATTTCTAGTTTTACACCAGCAGCTCATTGCATCGACCCCTTGCTTCTAGGCATCTAGGGAGACCATTTAAACAAGCCACGGTTCCTTGATATTTAAGAGCCTGTACTGCAAAAGACGCAGGACTGCGCTTCGAATCTGAAAACTGGTTCAGACATTTCAAACCTCAATAAAAAATTTATTATTCACTGAAAAACCGCAATTTACCGTATATTCACGAATTTCTGCTATTTCACGGTCCGTAAAAGTTGAGAAATCCGATTCTGTATTCTCGGTCTATTATTTTAAGGCAACATCACCTCTCGTGTGGTGTTTGTGCACTTTTTGGCCAAACATACTTGAGACCATTTGATCTGGTAAGAGTTAGTTTTCTCAAAACTACTCCTCCACTTGACAGCGCTCTCACTTTTAAATGCTGACATGCAGTAAACCAAACCTTAATCCAATTAGACATAAAGGGCCACAATTCATAATGAAATATAAGGACGCAGTACATTAAAAACTGCAAGTGACCTAACGCATTATATCGGATAAGCGAATAGCACCGTACGACCAAATTGCTGCCACTGCGGCAATAAAAAACAAATCAGAAGATTATAACAGAACAACAGGTCTTAACTTGGCACGTAATTATAAACAACAATAGAAGAACAAACGAGAAAAGAACCAATACAAAACATAATGCCGATAGACGAATCAAAGAAAACGTATGACACTAATGAGACGACCAATACCGATGAAGCAGCGGCGAAACTTTTATGAATATTGTCCAGGTATTTCATTACCATCGATATGAAAATGCCTCCAAAGCAGAGTAAACCTTAAAAACATGGAAAAATTGAAATGACAGTTACAGAAATAACAGCAAAGTTTAATTATAGCTAGTCTGTGTTAGAAAAATGTTGCAATTCTAGAACCATAATTCATTAATTACTTTGGCTTCCTTGATGCACAGTTAGGATATCGAAGCGTAAAACAGGGATGGAAGAGTTTTATTTTACATTCTATGCGTTTCGTCACTAACATCGGTAACATAATCAAGAGTGAATGAACGGTTCAGAGATCTTCGTTCAAAGAATTTCTCATTTCATCTAACTAGAGAAAACATTTTCCAAATAAACGAACTCAGAAACCTCCGACATGGAGTAAAGATTTTTTGGCTCATAAAATAACCGTTCTGCACGAGATTTTACTGGCACGAGGTTCAGGGCAACAAAAAATTAAGGATTCTCAAATATTCTTTACTTCTAACTTGTCACATTTATGCACTGTCACCTTCAGCAAGGTACAAATACCAAATGTATATCAATGAGGTCACACAAAGCTTCTATCATCTGGAGAGTGCACATCATCATTAAACGAAGGCCATCGTATATGGTCAATAGTTTGTTGCAAGCTCGGTCGAAAAATGTCATCTAGTTTCCATTCTCGGAAACTGATCCGCTGATTTTGGACACTGCTTTACAGGCAACAGTCAAATTAACGGCTAAAAATCATAATATGGGATGTTCAGAAATAAAACAGTCTTGCTTAAAGATTCAAGATCAAATGCTTAAATACAGTTAAATTCTCTCATCACAGCCATTAATAAGTCGATTATGACAAATTCGCTCAAAGCTTCCTTCACAACTTTATTTATTTATTGACTGTAATTTATCTGCTGTTTAATCTAAGCCTGTTTCGTTCACTTATGTCAAAAGCTAAGAATCCTCGGTTGTCTTTTTCAACCAAAACGAGAGAAACGAGCAGTAAACTTTCAACTTTCTTCTGCCATTATTGCAGCAGTGTAAAGGCTGCATACTTTTTTCTGGTATTTGATTCGTCTGTTTAATGATCTCTTGGTCTCTACAACGAGTACGCAAAATTTGATTTACAGGATACTCGCTTACACCAGTTACACGAGTTGCTGAAATTAAAATATAAGCAAATTAATATGAACTATAGCAATGCGTCAGCCTCACAGAGTGAGGACTGAATTTACACAGGTGTTATGGCATACGAAATGTTTTTCTAAAAAAGTGGGATTCAGTTAAGCCAGTCCATGTAGAAAGTAAACGGTCCACCTGTTTTCGAGCATAACCATTTCCAATCACAAGATTTAGGGGTTTTAAAACGATCAGATGGCGAAGTGTGACGTGTGACCTTTGGAAGAAAGACTAAGCACCAAACGTTTGCTTGTTGTTGTTGTTGCCATCGTCATATGGATAATCAGGATCAAAGACCGAGTACCCAGATTAATGATGACCGCTTGAACGTTTAAACGCTTGCTTAAGAAATATTGTTCAACTTTCACCTACAAGAGAATCATTATTCGAAAGCTAGATCATGTGATTCGAGTACATGATACACAGAGTAAAGAAAATAGTGGAATAATAATACATTAACGGATGCCACGATAAGAGAACAAGCAAGGATCGGAAGAAAGTGAAACAAGCAAAGACTAGGCTGCCTTAATGTCTGATTAAGGACGTAGTCAAAGGAATACTTCGACGCTCTGAGCGTATGATTTTTCCGTATAATTTTCATTACTGAAGATTCAATACCTCCAGTTTCGTTGGGCACAAAGTAATAACATCGATTCCCTATTCTCTCTCCTTGCTTTCTGCGTAACATTCCTCAAACGGAACGAGACACTACTGACCGCTGGGTTATGCTTTACGTCATATCCATTTATTAGCTTACAAAGAACAGACATCACTACAGTAGATCAAAATGGAATGAACACAGCTAGCAAAGATGGAAGGCCACCTCCATTTTGTACCTTCATCAGAGATCCACTCAGAACCCTTTCTCAAGTTGGTAACGGGTTTTCGAGACTGTCGCAGCAGTAAGAATGAATACGCCTTCCAGTATTTGATAGCTTAGATGTATATCCAATAATATTGTATAAAATTTGTTACTTCGACAACTGGGTAACCCTGAAAAGAAATGATGGTTGATTTCAAGTATTGAAAAACCTTTTCCATTTCATTTTACGAACAGACTTTGAAGTATATCATGACAACAGGAGAACACAGTCGAAAATTGAATGTACCAGTGGTGACGAAATACTAACTTGGTGGAATTAGATCAGTTTTTGTTAAATTACTCCATAAGAGCTTTAGAGATAAGGAATAGAAGCTTAAAAGTTAATGCTGTGCTGACGCCGAAACCGAAATGTTCAGAAAATCCCGTATTTACCAGTGAAGCAGACATTGTAGGCAAACTAAGAAACTCTGTAAAGCAGAAACGTGACGGACGGACAACAGAATTAAAGAACACTGAATCAATCTTGAGTTTTTTGCTCATGTTTTGGGCCCTACTGGAATAAGTGCCAAAAAACCGTGATCATTCATTATCCGTCGACATCGGCTGTGCGTACTGTGTGCAACCATACAATACTGGTAATTGGTACCGTAATACTGGTCGTGAGTAACGAAACATGTCGTTTAATAATAAATTTATATTTCTGATCAGGATTTACAGCGATTAGGCTCGAAACTTAAGCGATTATCAATAAAAATTGAAGGAAGTTTGCAACCATTGCAATGTCAGTCTTCCTTAAACTTTTATGACGAGATCATTTCTGCATCCCTTCTTTTCATGAAGTTGTAGCGGGGCCTGATCTTTCTTTTTATCTCATTAGCTACCAGTATTTTATTTTAAAGGTATAGTCGACAGCAGCGATGTGATAAGCATAGTGTGTAGTGACTTGTCCCATTTCCCAGAATGATGCTTATTAATCAACCTCGGAAGGAATAAAGAAGAGCGCCCAGTCGGGGTCTAACTCGGGATCTCACAGTTCTACGTCCGATGATCCACTGACGGAGCAAACTCGGTCACTAAGGTAATTATGAAAAAAAGATTCATTCAGTTCCTGGTTCAACACTGCTAACGGTTTTAGAAGTTATGAGAATGCTGTGGAAAGTGCAATGCATCAGAAAAAACCGCGTAACACCTGCTTCTTATCACAGCTACACTGATGTGCAGTGTCTAAACGCGTTGATAAATAAAAGAAGGAGATAACACGGTATTGGTGATTCGTTGCCTTGCATCATTAGTCAAAAAATAAGGGGAATAATCGTTATTATGGGCACAATTTCACTTTAATTTACCGTCGCAAACAGTGGAGTGGTTAATGAAGTTCAAGGATGCGCCGTACATAGAGGTCCCGAGTTCAAGCCTCGGTTGGGGTCATTCACCCTTCTTCCTCTGATTCTTGATAAATGAGTATCACTCCATGGGAAAGAAGCAGGAGACTATACGCTACGTTGCTCATGTGGCTGTAGACTCTGCTTAAAAAATAAGGTACTTCTGACTAATGGTGCAGAAATGAAGATGAGCATCGCATAATCAACTTCACGAAAAGAAAGGCGCCAAGATGGACCAATTATTAATGTGAAGAAAGTCCAACCTTCTAAAAGGAGACTAATAGATATCCGTTTCCTTATTTTATGCATGAAATGTAAACTCAATAAAGCGACGAGGAACCGCAAAGAAAATGACGTTATTATGCGAGTAAATTATATCTATAAAAAATGGTTTGATAAACAAGACTAATCAAGGAAGCCTTAATGAACGAAATTTTGCAATAATAAAATCCACAAAATTACCGATGATCATCCAGACGAGGAAGTGATATCCATAAAAGAAGCCATGCTCTTGGATAATTCGGCCGTCATACGCAGCACAGCTTAGGCCGGAGCATACGACTCCTCCCAGATATAACTGAATGTTTCGTATCCACAGCGAGGTGTGCGAGTCTTTCAGCATCTTTTCGAAGTAAACACCTGAAATGAGGAGAGCAGGAATGATAGTACCGGCAGCAATAGCAAAGGTACCTCTACCTGCGAAGCCAGCTAGGAAGCAGTTGAACAGCACGGCTGAGACACCTACGAAGAAGTTTCCCTTGCCGGTGGTGGAAGCGACGGGAAGACTGGCATTAACAAGGGCATCTTTCAGCGGAGTGTCATTGTGTGACGAAGGCGAGGCGTCGATAAGCACCAGCGAGATACCGATGAACACAAAAAATATAGCAATCCATCGTGCGAACGAAAACCGCCTGCCTAGCATCAGCGTCATAAAAAGTGCTGTGGTGACTACTTTCAGCTGTGAGAGCACCTAAAAGTGAAGAAAGCGAAAACGACCCACCATACCCTCTCCCGCAAAAACACTAATTTGACCTACCGTGAACAGCGCAGCACTCAAATTCGAGAGTGCAACGAAATCTAGGTTGTTCTGAATGGTGTACACCAGCGAAGGCACTGACATTTTCAGCAGCTCCCATGGCTTCTTCCACAACTCATCCCGTAGCTCGTACCGAAATCGTGTCAAGTCAAATTGATTCGCCCGTAGCAGAAGGAAGCTGGCGACGATCAGCTTCGAAAAGTCAGCTAGAACTACGACCGTCGTCGACAGGTACGGAGGATGCACCTCTGGGGGGACGGTTCTAGTGTATCGCAGGATCAGGGCATGCAGAGACCACAGTGCTATGGTCGAAACAATGAGGTAAAACCTGAAATTCCATGACGTATAGTGGTAATTCGGTTGATGAATCGTCGTCTTGCTGTCTACTTTCTCCATTAATCAAGTACACTACCCAGACAAATGCTGCCTGATAAGGCCCTTATGTTTCCGCAAATCAAGTCACTTGTACATACTACGAGGTGATCGCCACGTACAATAGAAACACATGTATCCTATTTTTGGTGCCAATTTTGCGATTCAATTCAATATTGTGAATTACTGTAATGCTGATCGTTAGGTTAATATAAAGGTTTTGCACAGACATACCCCAACACAGGCTATTGACTAGTGTTGTCATACTAGCGAGCTTTTCAGTTGCAAAGATAGGTGTTTGAACGGTTAAAGGCATCAAAGGCAGCAGATGGTGCAATAGTTTGTTGCCGAAGCGTTTCGTTACATAGATCACAGCATATATATATATGCATTCTTGGGATATCTGCATCCTTTTAAATTACAAAACATAGAACTAACAGTCTGTTTCAGGTTGTTGTTAAAAATTTATCCTCAGATGGATGGAGTTGAAGTGCTTCCTAATATCTTCGAGCTGCTTTATTCCATATTATCACAGAATCCAAGCGTTGTACAAATACCTATACAGCGAACTTGATCAAACCAACCCTGATTTCAGAGTCATTGCTTCGAATTGTTCCACGCATATATTTACGACAACCACAGATATACATGAGTCACATGTTACAACAAGTTCATCAACTGTGTTGTCTTTATAGTATCAAAAACTCTATAAAATGTTATTGATTTCTCATCGCCACCTTAGGCTAAGAGAGTTGATTCAGCGAACTTGCTTTCTATTTCTAACAGGATGAAATGGCAATACAATTCGATATTAAGCAATGTTCTCAAGGTAGTGCTCACAGCATTTACATTTTCCCCCAATTGCGTCTGTGGCCAGTGGACAGTCCTTATGTGAGGAACGTTTTATAAACATTTCTCTTCTCTTTCTCAGTTGTTTTATCAAGCCAAGCAGGTCGCCAGTTCTTCAGGTAGTTTTTTTTCAAACCGCTGGCCTTCAGCATCTGCTCATTCGTAACCTGATGAAACCATCTCACTTTCAGAATGCTTCATAAACAACGCTGCTGGAAACTGTTCAAATAAGCTTCGTGGTGTTTAAACTCTGTTGATGTTTCCAGACCGTATATCAGGACAACTGAAAGCGGCTGCTTTCATGATAGCGATCTTTGTATTAGTGATATAGTAGAACCCCGATATTCTGGAGGTGCTGTTGATACCGCCGCTAAATATATCCCGTCAAAAAATAGTTGCTGCTGTAAAGGGAGAAACAGAATTTTCTTTCTTTAAACCGTGCATTTGCGCGGTTTCAAGCCGGTATTATTTTAAATCTGATCTTCGTACCAGTTCTTATATCTTTACCTTCGCATTTTCCATTCCCTGCCGAAATTCGTGGCTTCAAGTCCGATGCGCCGGTTTACATCAGAATCAAAGCCTCCGTCGTTAGCCAGCACTGTTTCAAGATGCTTGAAATTGTCCATCACCTCTGTGCCATCAAAAATTATTCTTGGCTGGTCGGTCACACGGATACTCTCAAAATTTTTATTTTCTTGGCATTCATTTCCAGTCGCTGTCCCATTGTCATATTGTACACGCTATGAGAGAGTGTTTGTAGGCACCTGTAGAGTCGATCCGCAGCAGGATGTTATCCACATTCGTGGGGTCTACTAAAAATGTACCGTTAGGAACCTCAAGCTCTGCTGCTGACTGATTGTCAACCCTCATTGACATTTCGAACGACGCACTTCCACCGCATACAGTTTGACATGATATTGAATATTAAAGGAGAAAGCATTTCGTCTAGCCGAACTCCGCTGGTCATATATAACCGTTCCGACAATGATCATTTGGCTCGGGCCTCGTAGTTCATTTCTTATATAGGTCATTTATAATATTCACGATGGTGAGATTCTGTAGAATCGAATAAATCTCCACATACATCTCCACACTTTGGCGATGTACTGAACTGAAAGCTACCCGAAAATTCATGAACTTGTATGCCATGGTAGTTGGAAACCCTCGAACTGTTCGAAAATTCTTTTCATCACGAAGGTATTGTCCGCGCAGGAGTGTCGTTCCCGAAGTCGGATTCATTTATTCGCAGCAAAGGATAGATGGCTTCCTTCAATCATCCATGGAAAATCCGTGCGAGCACCTCAGGCATGAAAATACTCATCGATAGTCTGTGCAACTGTCGCGACCACCAGATTTGAAAATCGCGATGATCACGCCTTTCATTCGGTCCTTTGGATCACCGACTTCTGCCAAATGCTGCGGAAAGTCAAGTAGATCCATTCGAGAAGGTCACTGTTCTAGCACTTAAGGATCTCTGCATCAATCCTGATCGCTGGATTTCGTGCCTGATAAAAAATTGATCAAAAATTCGTTTTATACAAGATATTCTAGAAACCGTAGAAATTTGTATATCCGATTTGCATGTGCTTTGTTGACAATGACAAAACGTACGATCGAATGCCTTTCAACCAGCATTACGTGTTTATCGAAACGTATGAGATCGATAAACGTTTGCTACAACGCAGAATAAACGATGTTAAGTCAAAACCTTCAATATTGGCACTTATCTTCGCTAAACGCTTTGTTCCCTCTCTTGTTTGTGTTCAACATGGATAAAATAATCAGGCTCAGCCAGGCGATCAGTGGAAATGTGGAGTCAGGAAGGCCGAAGTTTGCAGACGACTTGGTTTTATAGGCATCTTCTGAAACCAATCTACAGTTGTCTCTGGAGAGGTTCGCAGCCGAATGCGGCATGATGAGCATGCGTGTAAACGCATCTAAATCGAAAAGCCTAATGTTCCCTCTTTCTCCTGCCTGTTGCTTTCTTTAGATCAACAGCAAAGTAGTGAAGTTGGTTCAGAACTTAGAGTACTCTGTCTCGTGTACATTGGTGACGGAAAATGAGAGTAAGAGAATCACCATCGGATTGCAATCGCCGGAGCGTTCTATTTGAACCAACTTGAACCGCTTGGATTAATGCAGGGGAGATTCAGAGAACTAGGCTCTCGTTTTTTATGCCGATCTCTATCCCTGTGTTCACCTATAGTCATGAGTCGTCCATCAGGGAAAACTTCAATTCCGGAGACAAATGGCTGGGACGAATGGCAAGAACCATGCGTTTCGACATTGTCCGTTTTACGGATATCCTAGAGAACATTGGCGAACAGCCGCCGCTTACTTAGTTCTTGAACCTAACACCCTGACGACGTTAACAACAACTGCGCGACTCGAAAGGAGAAGCGGTCATGGAAATTAAATTGAATTGAATATATCAATTAGTTCGTGTTGTGTCTTTCAGTGGCATACTTGCTTAATGACTGTTAGCCGCTCTGCTTAATTTAAAATTTGACAAACAAAACTGATGTTTGCACCCTGTTTTTGTCTCATGCGACGGGCTGAAGTGCAGGAATAAACTGATGTCTGTTTCTTTAATTAATATTAAAATGTAACAAATAACTGAATGTACAGTATATCACTGCTGATCGAGATGTTCACTACCTGACGTTAGCGCTCAAGCATTTCCATTCGATATACGGCAGGAGTCTTTATGGCTGATTTGAATGACGGTGTGCTATTTGGTTTGGGATGATGAAATTTAGGCTTGAAATCATGTTAATTGACAATATTTCTTCATTCTGTAGTGTGATTGAGAATGCGGAATGCCCTGCGGTGTAGTAAACTGTTAAACCTATATTTCTAGAGTATTAATGGTTCCGTTATCATGATAGCTATAAAGTTTACTAGCTTTTGATGCGACATTATTCTACCGCACCAGTCTCAGCTGTAAACGACCAGTAAGTATAAACAAAAATTGACTAAAATAAAAGAAAAATTCACTTTAAAATTACTCCGTGAGAAGTGCACGTTTTTGGTCAGTCTCGGAGCGATGAATGGTATCACATGTGGGATCTAACCCCACAGTATGGCAAGTAAGTAAATGGCACCTACCAGCCGGTCACGGTGCAGACTAAGTGGTGATAAGTTTTGTGCATTGGTTCACACGTGATTTAAGAGAAGACGCAGTGAATGACATTGTATGGAATATACTCTTTAGTCAAATGTAGAATCGAATATTTTCTTTTGCCTGTGTTGAAATCAGTTTTTATTTTATCTCCTTTTCTAGCTGCCATTTTCAACGTATCAATTTACTTCGATATTTAATATTCGCTTTATTGTACCATCATTTCGTAACAGTGCATACAGTAATAATATGCCTTTTTCAGTGCAGTCCCGATGAGCAGATTTTTCTCGAGGCGTGAACGCGTTATGTGCGGTTGTTTTATGTTGCAAATTATTCTTTTGTCATCTCTTCCGTACTCATGGTTACACAGTTGCGACAGATAAATGCTTTGACTCCTCCCTTCTTTTTTCTACTGAAAATTTCGTTCCTACACATCGTTCTTTGTACTTTCTGTAAACGTCTAAAGCCTTTTCTCGAATGATTTTTGATTTATGAGTCAGTTTTCGCGGTGACGGATTCGTGACTATCTTGTTTTTCGTTGTTTGTGTTGTGTTCAGCATGTCAACAATAGAGCTTCTCGAAACCGCGCTTTTTCTGAATATTCATAGTGCATGTTGACTGCGCATTTCCCTTCCGCTAATCAATTTTGTATTTTCATCCAAATTAATGCGGATTATATCAGCAGTTACTTTATATTCGTTCTTTTTTCTTCCTCGCATGGATCTCTTATGGAGACTGTTTCATATCGAAGAGGATTGAAACATGTTACTCATTTCGGCTTTAAAAATATCCTATGACCTTCTAAATGCTTCAAGAGTGCATTGGAGTTCAGTTCGTTAATCCGGTTCTTACTCATATTTTTATATGCCATTCTTTAACGCTTGTTGAATCTGTAACCACCAGTTCTTAGCTTTAAAACAATCAGTGTTCAATGTCTGAGCTATATAGACAGCCTTTACCCACATTATTGCTTCACCGAAAGGTTGAAAAATATTCATTCCTTCAGATAATATCCTCTCTATCTTAGCATTCGAGATAATTTCAGTATATTCTATTGTTTCTAATTTGTTGGTCTTTCTGTTGTCGATAAATTTTAATAATTCATTTCGGTAGTAATTGAGGACTCGAAACAGTACTGCGTACAAAATCAGCTAAGCACAAAGCGCACCTGCTAGATATAATTTTGCTTTTCGTTATGCAATTCGGTTTTGGGTGACGCACAATATATGTGGATCATGGTTTAGTTTGTGTTAACACGTTCGCACGCCAATGGATTGGCAGATAAATTGGGCGACTAAATTTTTTCGTAAACGGGGGCTATTCACTAACTTAAGATCAAGAAAGTTAATTGAAGACTAAATTCTCTACTTCTTGAATGGCATTTCCATTAAACGTCATTTTTCAGCCTACAAAAGGGAATCATATCACAGAAGGAAACGAAAGCGTCTGTAACCACAGTATAAAAAAAATATCACATTTTCGAGAAATCAGAAAATAATAAGAGTGATGAAGTATAAACGTAATGACATGAAAATAAATCTGTTATACTGAGCATACTGAAATGGGTCTGCAGCTTAACTATTGGGAATCCTTGAGAATGCTGTCTAAGGATGGTGTAAATGGCTTGTGAAAGAACTCTCCAGAGATGTTCAGAAACTGGAATCTCATGGGTGTAAGGTGTATCATCCACTTCTTAAGGCTGTCGGGTGCAGGATGTGAAACACTCTTCAATATGTTATTTTCCTTACGGACAGTAAACAACGACTGTTTAGTCTAAAGCTTACCATGCGAGATTATTCGCGCAGAAGTAAAATGCATTGCTTATGCATTACGTTTTCCGGTTCCTGAATAATATTCATTAAATATCGGTTCGCACTGAATAGATGAACGTTTTTATGTATTATGCTGATGCTAATGTTATGGTTATGTTATTATTGTTTCACAATAACGTCTGAATATCCATTGTAACAACGGTGAAATCGCACAGGATGTTCATAGGCATGTTTATTTAAAACAGCGCGGGCGATCTGCACCGTTATTTCCATCGAATGAACTCTTCACGTACACTTTACAATGGGCGATGATTTGAAGTTCTATTTAAATTTCACTGTTATACTTTCAGAATTCCGCAGCAAAACAGTATATATGAAGATACGAAAAATGAGTTTTGACAAAATCCCGTTCTCGGTGCCGAACGACAACAGTAAGGTGTACAAGGATGAGTGTATGTACTGCTTCAACACGCCATTTTCCGAGGGCGGATTGTTCTTATGTTTGGTCACTCATTATGGACTGTGTCCGAAACATTTGAATCTCCATGTGAAGAAGACTGAGTTTCTCGGCTACCTGCATTTTTCTCGTGTACAGATCTCTACAGTGACTGCTAAAGCAAGCGAGGGCGACTTGAATGCCAGCAGTGAATGCAGCGTTCTTGAAAAGCCTAAGGTGCGTATGTTAATGTAGTAAAAGTTAATGTAGTTTCTTTCGAGTGATCTTAGTTGGTTTTGAAAAGCTGTGATAGTCATAAGTTCTTTTTATTCATGGGCAAACAAACTGTTCCACCCTTCTTTCTTCAGTTCAAAGATTCTCCACCGTTAATGAGCCGGAACATGAAATTTGATTATTGCAAATTAACCGATTATTCTGCTGTGGATGTTGCTAAAAATTTCAGTATGCAAAGTGACTGAGAAAGTCATGCTTCCAGTTGACCGGAAATATCTGGAAACAATGTTTTCCTTATAGGATAACACTATAGACTCAACCAAGATTCCTACATTCCTTCACAGTCGATAAATGTTAAGTGATTCACTGTGTACGTATACTTACCTCTACATTCAACACCCTTTTACACATGTCTATCAACGTGTTGTTTCAGTTTTCTTGCTTTTGAAGGAATTCGCATTAAAATATAAAGATGTCTGGGAATTGGTCATATATCCTGATCTCTTTCCTTACTCGCTTGCCGACCATTCAGTGCCTACTGACTTGGCTAGCTGCTGCCAGAAACTGATCGAGTTCCGGGATGCATACAACATAATCGAAATTGAAAACCAGACGAACATGTGGGAAGGTAATCCGTTGAAACCGACAAGAATCACGAATCTGCACCAGATCGAAAATCCGCCGGTGGTGTCAACCATTCAGCGACAGTGCCAATGGGAAGGTTGCGACAAAACCGATAACCTCTGGATGAACCTCACTGACGGTTCGATCTACTGCGGTCGACGCTTTTGGGACGGTTCCGGCGGGAGAGGGCACGCAATCGAGCACTATGGCAAAACCGGTTATCCGTTGGCAGTCAAAGTTGGCACTATTACTGCCAATGGAGCAGATGTGTACAGCTATGATGAAGACGAGATGGTATGTCATGAATGAAATATATCTGCTCTATGGTACTTTATATGATATTTAATTTATGGTGACTTATCAGAAGCGCGTAACGACAAATTATGTACGATACCTTATGCCTAATGTCTGGCAACCTAAAGGAAATAATTTCTTTTGCGCCGTTTCTTTGATTAATACTCTGAATCCAGCGTGTTGAATCTTTTAAAAGTATGGAAAAGTGATTTGTGTCTTGCGCGCTGCAAACGAAGGATCACGCTTTTCAGTGGCAAACTTGCCACCCCGTCTTGTGACCATCTTCATCTTCATCTTCATCGCCGCTTCTCCTTTCGGGTCGCGGAGGCAGACGCGTCAGACAGTGCTT